GGAGCTAAGTCAAGGTCAACATATTAAATCTGAACTGATACTTAAGAAGTACTACAGGATTCAGAGGGACCCGGAGATCAAAGCTGTCCATTCATTCTTGCTGGGCAGTGTTGACCATAACCCCGATCCTCGACAGACTGAGAAGAAGTAGATAACACAGAGAAGATGACGCGAATATACTACATGATAGTTTATTTTTAGTACATCATATACCTAGATGATAGAGTTATATTTTGTGAAATTTCGTTTTATTATTTTTTGGTTTTCCATTGGTGTTATCACACCAAATGTAAAAGAGGGGAGATGTGTAACGAAATTTCAAGCCAGTTCATCCCTATGTGTGATTGATTGAGTGGTACTTACCTGCCAGAGTTCACATATTGTCCCTTTAGACGATGATTACAGTAGATTATTAGACTTTACAGAAATTTCATTCATTTTTCGTGAACTGGTGTTATTTTTGGCGACGTAATGGAGGCTGCCATCTTAGTTTTGCCCATATAAGGAACGAGTCCAATTTATATTTTCACCCTTCGATTTCTCAACACATAAGCTAAGTTACTTCACTTTTAGCCGTCCTAGACTAAGTTAGAGGTGTAGAGTTTCGAATTAGATACCCTTCAAGGTCCAAATCTTTATCATTTGTTAGAAATTATAGGGAATTGCTTCGTCAGATTTTGACTTGAAAACGTTTCGAATTTAACTTCCGGTTGGTAATTTTGCTGATATTTTGCAGTTTATCGACATTATTCAAGCTCCTATCTTTTATAAAAACATTCTAGAGTTATTTATCGTTCCAATCTATCCCCGCCACTGTAAAATTATATGTTTTTAGCCCAAAATACTTGGATGACCGGCGGAGTGATATTTTCTTACCGCGGAAGGCGAACTATTTTGTTACAGGGACTATATAAGGCGGGAAGCAGTGAGCTTAGCTCAGTCTTTATTTCAGGTTCAAGGGGAACATATCAAGGAGTCTTTCTTTCAGGTTCAGTACATACGTTTGAGGAGCGAGTCAATACGTTTCAGAATTGTGGAATTGAGTTCTTTCAAATTCAAGCAATATCAATCAAGAGATTCGATCTCAGGTACTTTGAAATTCTTTCACTTTAATAGAAATACTTCTATAGAGATATATTTTGGATAACAATTGTTAGTGGAATTTAACTTCAACTTATTTCAGTTGACTTTGGTTTGGAACTTTGATTTATTTTAGGGATTTTATTTCAGAACTTTATTTGTTTTCAGCACTTTGTATTTTCAGATGTGATCCGGATCAAGAGTATGCAGAGTAGAGACTGTGTATATTTTCAGATGTTGTCCAGACCAGGTGTAGTCGAGTAGACAGTATATATTTTCAGATGCTGTCCAGACTCATTGTATGAGCAGAGACCTTGTGTATTTTCAGGAGCTGTCCGGACCAGGTGTATTTGCAAAGCAGAGACTTTGTGTATTTTCAGATGCTGTCCAGACTCATTGTATGAGCAGAGACCTTGTGTATTTTCAGGAGCTGTCCGGACCAGGTGTATTTGCAAAGCAGAGACTTTGTGTATTTTCAGATGCTGTCCAGACTCATTGTATGAGCAGAGACCTTGTGTATTTTCAGGAGCTGTCCGGACCAGGTGTATTTGCAAAGTAGAGACTTTGTATATTTTCAGATGCTGTCCAGACTCATTGTATGAGCAGAGACTTTGTGTATTTTCAGGAGCTGTCCGGACCAGGTGTATTTACAAAGCAGAGACTTTGTGTATTTTCAGATGCTGTCCAGACTCATTGTATAAGCAGAGACTTTGTGTATTTTCAGATGCTGTCTGGACTAGGAGTATTCACACAGACTGTGTATTTTTAGGTGCTGATCCGGATCTTGGGAGTATTTGTAAGATTCTGGAGGTGATCCAGAGTCTGTGCAATTGCCGAGAATTTGGTGTATTTTCAGGACTTTTGTGTATTTCCAGAGGTGGTGACCGACTTTGATTGACAACCGAGTTTGCTTTGTAGGCATTCTATTTTTCAGGGTTTGCTTTGTAGGCATTCCTTTTCAGGGTTTGCCTTCTATATATTTCCAGAGTTGCCTTCTATATATTTTCAGGGTTTGCCTTCTACCTTTCAGGGTTTGCTTTGTAGGCATTCCATTTCAGAGTTTGCTTTGTAGGCATTCCATTTCAGAGTTTGCTTTGTAGGCATTCCATTTCAGAGTTTGCTTTGTAGGCATTCCATTTCAGAGTTTGCTTTCTATATATTTCCAGGGTTTGCCTTCTATATATTTCCAGGGTTTGCCTTCTACCTTTCAGGGTTTGCTTTGTAGGCATTCCATTTCAGAGTTTGCTTTGTAGGCATTCTATTTCAGAGTTGCTTTGTAGGCATTCCATTTCAGAGTTTGCTTTGTAGGCATTCCATTTTAGAGTTTACTTTCTATATATTTCCAGGGTTTGCCTTCTATATATTTTCAGGGTTTGCCTTCTACCTTTCAGGGTTTGCTTTGTAGGCATTCCATTTCAGAGTTTGCTTTGTAGGCATTCCATTTCAGAGTTTGCTTTGTAGGCATTCCATTTCAGAGTTTACTTTCTATATATTTCCAGGGTTTGCCTTCTATATATTTTCAGGGTTTGCCTTCTACCTTTCAGGGTTTGCTTTGTAGGCATTCCATTTCAGAGTTTGCTTTGTAGGCATTCCATTTCAGAGTTTGCTTTGTAGGCATTCTATTTCAGAGTTTGCTTTGTAGGCATTCCATTTCAGAGTTTGCTTTGTAGGCATTCCATTTCAGAGTTTGCTTTGTAGGCATTCCATTTTAGAGTTTACTTTCTATATATTTCCAGGGTTTGCCTTCTATATATTTTCAGGGTTTGCCTTCTACCTTTCAGGGTTTGCTTTGTAGGCATTCCATTTCAGAGTTTGCTTTGTAGGCATTCCATTTCAGAGTTTGCTTTGTAGGCATTCCATTTCAGAGTTTACTTTCTATATATTTCCAGGGTTTGCCTTCTATATATTTTCAGGGTTTGCCTTCTACCTTTCAGGGTTTGCTTTGTAGGCATTCCATTTCAGAGTTTGCTTTGTAGGCATTCCATTTCAGAGTTTGCTTTGTAGGCATTCCATTTCAGAGTTTACTTTCTATATATTTCCAGGGTTTGCCTTCTATATATTTTCAGGGTTTGCCTTCTACCTTTCAGGGTTTGCTTTGTAGGCATTCCATTTCAGAGTTTGCTTTGTAGGCATTCCATTTCAGAGTTTGCTTTGTAGGCATTCCATTTCAGAGTTTACTTTGTAGGCATTCCATTTCAGAGTTTACTTTCTATATATTTCCAGGGTTTGCCTTCTATATATTTTCAGGGTTTGCCTTCTACCTTTCAGGGTTTGCTTTGTAGGCATTCCATTTCAGAGTTTGCTTTGTAGGCATTCTATTTCAGAGTTTGCTTTGTAGGCATTCTATTTCAGAGTTTGCTTTGTAGGCATTCCATTTCAGGGTTTGCTTTGTAGGCATTCCATTTCAGAGTTTGCTTTGTAGGCATTCCATTTCAGAGTTTGCTTTGTAGGCATTCCATTTTGGAGTTTACTTTCTATATATTTTCAGGGTTTGCCTTCTTCATTTCAGAGTTTGCTTTGTAGGCATTCCATTTCAGGGATTGCTTTGTAGGCATTCCATTTCAGAGTTTGCTTTGTAGGCATTCTATTTCAGAGCTTCTGTTCCAGACCTGTCTTTCCAGGGATTGTAATTTCAGGTTCATCGAGTAGAGAACTTTATTATTGAGAGGAACAGATACAGAGTAAGAGACCTTTATAACAGGAAACCAGCCAGACACAGAGAATCAGACACGGCCATAGACATTTAGAGAGATATAGAGACCCATATACTCATAGACATTATTGAAGCAGATATAGACATTGGATGCAAGATACTTGATACATTAGAGATACAATCAATACAAAGCTAGAGACATTCTCGATTTATTTTTGTAACACTTCGTGGGCTAATAACAGCCTAAATAGAGCTAATTTCTTTTCATAAGTAAACTGAATTACTGTGTTTGTCATTATTATTTAGAGGCAGTAGACTCGGCTGAAGTAAAAGTGTCAACCGACCCCGACACGCCCAAAGACGTCTCACCCCTTTTTAAACAAACGAACCCCAACTTCCCAAATCATAACACCATATACACACTACCACGGAGGTTGGAGCCGTTCGTTACAATAACATAAAAAATGAAAAGTTCGAATAAGAAAAATGTATACATTTAATACCAAAATGAAAAGTTGAAACATAATATGTATAAAAGTTTGTAGATAAAAGTTGGTTTGGGGTCGTGTAAGTCCATATTGCTTTGAACTATAGCTATAGAACATCGGATTTAACATTATTTTTTCTTATTCGACATACGTTTTTTCTAATTTGAAGTTCTCAACATTTACTTTGAATTTTTTTCCTTATTTTCTTTGAATTTTTTTCCTTATTTGATGTTTTTGAAAAAATTGCTTTTATTTTCTTATTTGATGTTTTAAATATATTTCGACTATTCAAAATATATAAATGTGAAACTAACATTGAAATTTTAGCCATTTCTGACACCATAACGTCACTGCCACATTTTCAATGCTGACATTATTTCTAGCGTTTCGGTAATCATGTGGCGGTCTGATAGTAACATTAATTCCTGTAATAAGTTCTTAAATCGGAATTCTGAAACAATAGACCGTTTTGTTTATTTCGTCAGTATTGATATGTCTTATCATTGGTGAAGAGGTTCCGATTGAACATTTAGTAAACCTCTAGAGATAAAGATGCTACATACGATTTGACGATAACTTTCTATGTGACAAAATAAGTCAAATAGTACTATATTTCTTGAAACGTAATGTGTAGAGTTAAATACACGATGATCACGCACACGTTTAAGAACTACAAATGCTAAGGTGAAAGACTGGTCCATGTTCTTTATAGAAAAACAAGTTTGATATGTTTTACTTCAAGTCACTTATAAGTGTGCAAACAGATCAAAGTTCGACCACTTTCAATGACTTACCATGGACCTTATACGAGTTCATTTTAAAGTGTTGAGTACATTATTTCACAGTACCTTTACAAAATTTATCGGCTCACGTACCTGAATCTGAGACTCTCAATGCTTTTGGGAAAAGGGGCGATACAGAAAGATATATACAAACTTGAACAACGTACGTTCCAGGGCTTGATCTGATACGAACGTAACTTGACCCCGAACCCATCCAGTCTACGTCTCTCTGAGACTAATGGGAAATTCCGGCAGTTTTATTGCTGAACAAGTGTTTGATTGTATCTGTAGTACTTATCTTATTCGGTAATTTCTAAGGGGTGAAAGATACTGTGAAAATTTGTACCACGAAAATCTCACTGACATAAGTTGTTCTCATAAGAGAGAAATGGATTGGAATTATTGCAGTCATCATTAATGAGGATTAGAAATACGATACACATGTATGTTGTTGGACTTAACACATTGTCAGAATTCAAGTTTGCAGTTTAGTGAATAAAGTTCACATCCAGGGATTTCGTTTAGACATTCATTAGTCTTCATATACACTAATTTCTGTGCCCATCGGGCCTAGACATCAGCAACAATGGGAAAAGATGGATTTCACGTTTCTACTCGGAACGCTGTGATTATTATTGTTTTATTTGTATTAATATGTGTTGGTGTTGGGCTAATGGCGGGGTTGATACGTGCCCCATGTCCTACTATAGTACAAGTGACACCTGCACCCATAACTGCTGGGCCAGTTGATACTACCACAGAGACCCCCAGCCTGCCCCAGGAAACTACTACAGCGGCACCCACGGGACCAGAGCCTTGGTATCAGGTCAGACTCCCAAAGTATTTTATACCACAACATTACCATCTTACCCAATTTCCTCATTTTGAGGGAAACCAAAATAGTTTTGAAGGAAACGTATCAGTCAGGATTCTAGTGACGCAGGACACTCCATACTTGCTTATACACATCAACTATCTAAATATCACAATGACACGAGTCACCGACTACGACACTGGGGCAGAAAAAGTAGTAAAGAACACGTTTTCGCACACTCCAAACCAGTACTGGGTGGTCGAGTTATCAGAGTCTCTAGCAGCCAACACAGTGGTGGTCCTTCATTTGTCATTCGAAGGTTCCCTTGATATAGGAATTGTGGGTTTCTATAAAAGTACATATACAGATTCCAGGACCGGTCTGCAAAGGTAAATAAATATACTTGCATATAGTTAGACGTGCATTTGTATTTTCTTACAATTTATAGCCACGAGCTTGGCTGTATCCAACAAATAGCAATGAGCTATCCGAAACGAAGCTCGTGACGCTACTTTCGGTAGCTGCGATAGAAGCGAAGCCTGAACTTGAAGCTTGGACCAAACGTGCAACCTTTAATTTACAAATCATTTGTAAATGTACCCCTTTCATCGTAGACATGGTAGATGCGGATTCTGAGGTATTTTTACGATACCATACACAGTGCACTATTTTGACTTTCACTAGTATTTTACCATTTTCTATCATTTTACATTTTCTAGTATATTTCTAAAATATCTAGTATTTTTACTTATTCGGGTAATTTAGCTTTTTAACTTCAATCATACAATACTATGTTTTGCAATTGCGATTCTCACTTGTCAAACGTCATGGTGAATAAAAAAGTCTAAATAATAAGGATTGCCCGCCGCACTGGGGGATCTGGGGGCATGGCACATTTTGGGCATTACTAAGCCTTTTTGGCCTTATTTATTGATTTTAGGTCAGATATCGAAGAAAATGGGCCTTAAGTTTTCAAAATCTTTCGGAAAATTCATTTAGCATTGTAATGTGTCCCACCCCCTGTTAATTTTCAGATCCGTCCCTGCGTTGTAAGAACGAAATACAATGAGTATCAAATTGGGCCAAGCTTCATCATCTCATTGTATCTAAGGTGTTATATTGACCTGAAGTACTCTAAATAGCACAGCCATATGGCATCATCAAATATCTGAAACAACTTCACTGATGGAACATCATGTTTCCAATTCAATAGCTCATGACAACATTCTGTTACAAACTGTTTTGTAACATAATCTACATAAAATAAACCCCGGCAAGTGCTTTGGGGATGTATACAAACAATGTAACGGAGATTGTTGAGTGTTTCCGCCTGTGTTAAAACCAGCGCTTTAAACGCTAATGAGATAGTAAATTGAGTCTCTGGTCTTCACTAATAAGATGCTTCTCATGAACCATATCAAAGCCATCTTCTTATCGCCATCTAAGAATTTCAAGGTAGTTATATTGGAGCAACTGAAACCTTGTGAATTAAGATGCGAATCGCAGGACCGAAGAGCTCATTCAAGAAAATTTTACTCAGTAATGATGTAGAAATCCCCGAGACACAAACGGAACAATTATAAGAACCAATGCTCCAAATCGCCCTTTACATTCAGGTATATATGGTACAATGGTATATGGTATAAGTCATTCTGATTTATCGGCTCTTCACCTCAGTACGTATACAGAGAACAGCTTTTCTTTGGTGATTGGGTAGGACCTAATTGTCAAGTTCTTTTCCAGATCACTGGCGACTACAAAATTCCAGCCTACGAGTGCACGAAAGGCATATCCATGCCTAGATGAGCCTGGTCTTAAAGCTAACTTCACGATGACTCTCATTCATAAGTCTGAATATACACCGCTCTCAAATATGTTACCAGAGGTATATAAGGCCTTTTATCTTAATATATCGAAGTATAATAAGACATAATAGTTATAAGGTACATAAGGCATTTTACCTTAATATATCGAAGTATCATAAGACATAATAGTTATAAGGCATTTTATCTTAATAATAATCAAAGTATCATTAGACATAACAATTATAAAGTACATAAGGCCTTTATTTTAATATATCGAGGTATAAGACATTATAGTTATAAGGTACATAAGGCCTTTTATCTTAATAATAATCAAAGTATCATTAGGCATAATTATTGTAAAGTTCATACGGCCTTTATCTTAATATATCAAAGTGTCATTAGACATAATAATTATAAAGTACATATAAAGGCCTTTATCTTAATATATCGAGGTACCATAAGGCATAATAGTTATAAGGTATATAAGGCCTTTATCTTAATAATAATCAAAGTATCATTAGACATAATAATTGTTAAGTACATAATGCCTTTTATCTTAATATATCGAAGTCAAATTAGACATAATAATTATATCGAAGTATGATAAGACATAGTAATTATAAGGTACATAAGGCCTTTTATCTTAATATGGCAAAGTAACGTAAGACATAATAATCATAAGGCATATATAATAATGGTCTTTTAACTTAAAGTATTATAAAGCTTTTATCTGAATATATTTTAATGTAATTTAATAAAGGTGTAGTAACACCATAAATATAAAGTTCCCCCAAAAATTGTAACCAAACGGGAATTACTCCCTTTTCCTTCATCGAAAAACATATGCCCCTGTTTAAATCCTCAGAAAATAGCCAAAATCCAACATATGATCACTGTCCGAAATCTGTTGCGATACTTTCCCTTCTTTCAAAAATATGCTTTCATCACTCATAGAGATATTCCATGTTTGTCTTGGTAAATTTTATTTTGGGACACCCTGTATTGGGGAAGAATGTCTCCCTTGTCCGTGTTCTAATGTAAAATATATTTGCAAATCTTTGAGTCATTAATATTTTGAAAAATTTATTTTATTGACACGATATTGAAATCTCAGTATCTATAAATTACCAAAGAGAACTTGTGTAAACAGTTAACAGTTTCTATTTCTGAATTGCTTTAAGGACCATCGAGATTATTTGTGTACAGTTGGGTCTACGCTTAACAAGAGATATATGTTTTTGCTACAAGGATATCTACATATAAACAAGAGATATGCCCCTTTCTGAGCAGCACTTGTTTTATTAATAGGACGCTAGTTTTACGTGAACAAAGTCTTCCTGGATTTCGGCTAGATTGTTTGCAGTAGTATCAGTAGCTCAACAATAATCATGAATGAAGTTACCCAGATACCAAACAATCTGGTCGGAATCTGTGCAGTGGATGATCATGATAGCTGTATGTTGGTTGTGAATATATTTTAGGAACCATTAAAGATGTCAGCTTATGACAAATCAAGATATCAAATAGTCATCATGTTTTCAATATAAACGAAAACCTTGCAATTATTTACCTCCCCCCATGTTTAATGTGTACCTTAAAGACATGATCTCTACTATAATACATTTAGCCAATATATTGAAACAAACTTGATATAAAAAGTGGTTGTACATAATAAATGCTTAAGCTCCACTAGGGTTGCAACACTAGAATGAACTGTAGTTTATTCTAAAGATTATCCAGCTGTAACAAAGATGAGTGCATTTTTTCTATTATTTAAAGAATGTACACTTTCAAGCTATCCAAAACCAGTGGGGCACAAAAGGTGGTTCTGTCACGTGCACTAAAGCTAAACTAGTTATTCCCTATTCACCCATCCAATAGTTTAATAGTAAACACAAAAGAAATCAAATTTCAAATTGTACCCTGCCTGTAAAATGAAGTGCACTGAAACTGAACTAATCACACCCACCCACTTCTGCATTTACTGCATAGTCAATACAAAAGAAATCATTTTTTCCTAAAATTGGAACATGGACTATTTACCTTTCATAAGAGTCAGTGCCCAGTGTAGTTTAAGTAAGAGAAACCATTCGTATTGGGTCTTAAGAAAATTTATAACCTCAGTCTAGCGGCCTCGGCTATTATTTCTCCTAAAACCCAATACTCATAGTTTATCCCTAACATAATCATGTATACGTGTTTAAAAGATTATGATTTATGTTTATAGCGCAATGAAACACGACCTGATGGGCTAATAGCCACCACATTCCAAGAATCTCCCCCAATGAGTACATACCTGTTGGTCTTCATAGTCTGTGACTTTGCATACCTTGAAAATTTCACATCGGATGGTCTTAGGGTATGTTGGTATCGTTGTTTCGATTCTATCCTTTACCAAACTTTCCACTGCGTTATACAGAATAACATAACATAATTTTAATGAATTAATCACAGGTTACATAAAAACGTAAAAACCTATTTACATGTATTGTACCCATTAAACAAAGAATATTTCTTCACTGAGATGTTCTACGATGTTTGCGCACATAGAATGAACTAAATTCACATTTGTAAGACTACTGTGCTAAGTATAGATGGCATGGTGTTTTTAGGTCCGAATCTACGCGCCTCCTGATCGTATAGAACAGGGTCGATTTGCATTGGAGGCGGCTGTGAAAACACACGAATGGTTTCAGCAATGGACTGGAATACCATTCCAATTGCCCAAATTAGGTAAAATCTTCAATCATACTTGTAGATATATCATACAAATATTTAATTCTTATTATTATTAATCTTGGTGAATACCATGTGCATCTTTCACAAGTGATATTCCACGAAGCCCGAAAGTGTCACAGGTATTCCCCGAAAATAGAATTAAATATTTGTTTCATTATGCACTGTTATATTCTCCCCCCCCCCCCCCCCATTATACTTCGATATAAGATCTCAAATGGCAAACGTGTGAAGAACACAATATTTGATAATACACGATTAAAATGTACTTTTAGCAACATATCTAGGCCACATATGGCATTTTCTTTGTGTAAAAATAAATTATATAACAAAAGATATAAATGGGGAGAATTCGTGTTTAATTTCAATTGGATTCTATTCAAAGCGCGAGAGACGTCATCTTGATTCACAGAGTTTCGGTTGCATATTACCACCTTTGAAGTCAAAGATGAGAAGATTTCTGTGTTGGCATGTTAGACTATGTCTCCAATCTATTCATTAGTTTCTAAACGCAATTCATGTTTTTGTCAAGATCATGCGGCTATACCAGATTATCCATCGGGTGCCACTGAGCATTGGGGACTGATAACCTACAGAGAACAGAGACTCCTTTATACCGAGTCTCAGTCAACATCATCGAAACAGAGTGTTGCAAGCATAATTGCGCACGAGTTGGCTCATAACGTAAGTAAATTCATCGATATAAGGTGATACCCCCCCCCCCGTCTTTCCCCAGTCAAAGCTAGAGAAGTTAATCGGAATGACGTGAGGCAAGTTCCTAAGTACAGGGTGTCCGGAAAGTAAAGATACGAATACTCAAATTTTTTCCTATTAATTTAGGGACCCCTTTTCTAAGCACTATATACTTTTTTCTATGATTATACTGGTGACATTACATAGTTATGATATGTATCAATGATATCATTATACTCAAGAGAATACTATGGCAGCAAGAATACAATATCGAACAAAACAAAACATTAATAAAAAATACAATAATAAACACTGTTTCAAATGGTTATATTTTTGCAATTCATCACAATTTAGCGATATCCTGGAACTGCTTCGCATACCCCTCACCACCGTAACTATGACAACCGTAACTTTAACGCGTTTAGACTATATGTTATAAAAGTTGGTAGATGTATTGTAATATAAGAAAGAAATTTTGTTAGCCCCCCCCCTCCCTGTTAGCTTTTGGATCCTTCAGTGATTTCCATGGCAATGTCTCAAGTTTTTTAGCAATCCTTCGATTAATGTCAGAGTTCTAATCGGTCCTCATCTATAAGATTATAACTATTTATCTTTTTAGTATTGGGGCAATCCTGTCACTTGCGATTGGTGGGACGACATATGGCTAAACGAAGGCTTTGCGACATATTTCACAAGCAAGGCCATGGCAGAAATAGACATATTCCAAGATTGGGCAATGGTAAGCTAATTAAGTCAGTGTTATTGTTTAAAAAACTTACCAAGCTTATAAGAGGAGAAATGGAGGTTCTTGTATGAGTACCTATGCAAGATCGTCCATTCTTGATGAGTTTTGATAATTCTTCGTTATCGATCCGAAGACGAGATAAAAAAACATTATCAAAGCAAATACCTTAAAACTTACAAGTATTTAGACTTCATGATTTTTTTCTAGTTATATACATTAAGTTAAACTGTGCTTTTATTTCCTTTTAAGTTGGACCAGTTTGTTAGTGGTACTGTCCATAGGATGCTAGCTGGGGACGCTGTTCTGTCATCACATCCACTCGTCAAGACAGATGTCAACACTCCGAATGACATCAATCAGATGTTTGACTCTGTTACCTATTCAAAGGCAAGTTATACAATGGAATTATCTTATGCAAGAGTATTCATTCATTCAGGAGAGCCAGTGTTTTAGGTTTTTAGTTCAATTATTGTTTGTGTGACAGGTTTGAAGGACGAACCTTACTCACTTCGAGAGCCATGTTAGATTTTGAAACTTATGGCTCTCAAACGGAGTAGTGAACAGCTGATCAATAGTGACCTTTGAAATTGAATTAAGTCGATCCGCGGCTTACTTTTGGTCTCTAACTGTGTCTTACATCAGTATCATCAATCCGTGTAAGTATTGGAGCGCTGGAGTACTTCTTTTTCGATCAAGACTTGTAAATTGTTCATCGAGTTAAAGTTTTACAGACCTATTTCCAATATGGCGGTTTGCTAGGTGCGAGATACGCAACGAACGAAATGAATTTTGAGAATTAGTTAGGTTCGGACAACCTCCGGAGATTTACGAAAATGTCCGAGCAGAAACCGCCATATTGGAATTTGGCAGTAAAACGATTCACTCGACTAACAATTACAAGTCTTGATCGAAAAAGAAGTACTCCAGCGCTCCAATACTTACACGGATTGATGATACTGATGTAAGACACAGTTATAGACCAAAAGTAAGCCGCGGATCGACTTAATTCGATTTCAAAGGTCACGATCATTGAGCTGTCCAAATGCTCCGTGGGAAAGCTATTATATCAAAATCCAAATAGCTTTCGCAGGAAGTAAGACGAACCCGGCAGTTGACGTTGTTTCAACAGGTGCATCCATTCTACTTGATACCTTGATGAGTTCTTAATGCGAGTCATGTAGCAAAAAGGAGTGCGTAGGCATGACCTTAATCATGATATGGGACCACAATAGTAATTTAATTAAATATATTGACATTAACTTCCTAAACGCTATTCTTAATCATGCCTCTAGTAATTAGTCTAAACAGCGATTGTTTTGCAGGGAGCATCTGTGCTGAACATGATCGAAGGCTTCATGGGAGCAGCAAAATTCCAAGAGGCAATAAGGGTAAAAACATGTGAATATGATTTAAAAACGTTCCATTTCAACTGACGTTTGTTATGTATAAATCTAGAGAGACACATTTATTATGACTGACGTTGTCATCAGTCATATGATATATCAGTATTTTTCCCACAATTTCTGCCGAGCAAGACGCATCAAGACGCGAATTTGGGAGTTTTAGAGTCATACCATCTTTGTATTGTCTTTTGTATCGTACTTTAAACTTTTATCATTTTCAAATCATTTAACTACCAACGACATTAGAATTACTAATGATATTGTGAGGTTAATATTATGTGTAAATATTACATATCCACTCAGGAAAAGAAATCGCTTATACGGGTGTCCCAAAAATGAGACACTTTTCGACAAGTATTTTCTCGGCAACTGATGAACCAAATTCACAGAGAATTTGTACAAAGTAACCTAAGAGTATTGTTAACAAGTTTTATAAACATAAAAAGATCAAAAAATATTCTGTGAGTCTCATTAATTCTTTTCATTCTTCCCTATTACCAAAAATCCATTCATTCATTCATTGAAGGTGATATTGTTAGAATAAATACAGCGAAGTATTTTTGCTTGGAAATGGATTAATAAGTGACTTTTACATTGATATTAGTTATTTAGACATACTGTCTTTAATTCAAAAATACAACATTCAAACTTTTACATATTCATAGCACTAGCAAAGATAATTTTCAAAGAATTTAGCCGAGAAATTTGCTTCCCATTTTTGGTACATTAACGCTATGAAGTTCTCATTGCGTTGCTCCGGTATGGAATCTTTTGACAATGGTACCTTGAATTTCTTAGTACTCACATAACACTTACCTTATCGTTCTCATATGTGTGTGCCTTGCAACTCTTGGGTTAGTCTGTGCCAATTTTCAAGTTTGGTTCATCAGTTGCGGAAAAAAACACTTGTCAAAAAGTGTCTCATTTTTTGGGACACCCGATATATTACGAATATCAGCCTAAAATATAATTGTTTCTATGTGTCCAGAATTTCCTGAAGGAGTACGAATTCAAGACAGCCATTACTGAACAACTTTGGGCGGAAATGCAAAAGGTAAGTTTCACCATTCACATAGCACGTGCAAGTACGACAACGCATGCGCATTATGTATACGGTGATGTAACATATAATTCGATATCTTGGTACTAAACCGCTACATTAGCAGGCGTCATAATCCTACACTCTAATGTTTGATTTCCTGTTCTTGATATATCTAAGTGTGCTGTATCCATTACGATTGCTTAATCAGTATGACTTGTTTTGTAAATGGCAAAATAGTTTTCAATAACGCTACATTAATGATTAATTCTAAACTGAAACAACTGTAACAAACCTGACATCAAGAAAAAAATGTATGTGCATATACCAGGTATGCAGACGTTTATTGCATACGCTCTCAAACACTCTGTTCGCTGAGATCAAAACAAGACAAGGGGCAGGGGTGGATCTGGGAACCAACAAGGGGGGGGGGTCAAATTTCCGGTCAGAGAGAAAACTTCCGAAGAAAATTTTTGAAATTTTGAGGCCCATTTTCTTCAAAATTTGGCTTGAAATTAAAAAATAAGGCCTTAAAAGGCCCAGTAATGACCAAAAAGGCCCACTCTTTGGGGCCTTAATGCCTTTTTTCGCCCAAAATCTTTTTTGGGCCCAATTTTTTCTGTTTCTGGGCCCACCCAAGCAGCCCCCCCCCATTCATTGTAGTATTACCCCAAAATAAAATGTCCATATACAGTACGTAGGAAAACTAGACATAATGATTCCCGGGTTAGGATTACAAGCAATCTTACGGAGGTCCTGAAGCTTCGTCCTGAAGACGTTTGCTAAATCTAAAATCAATCAAAGACCAGATATGAACTACTTGCATGTTGTAGAGGATTTTTAAATCAAATTGCAGAATAAAACACAGTCGATGCACACTTATATCTATATTATAGCATTTTTATTGTAAACCGTTCTTCTCTTATCTAGGTTATGGGTCCGGGGTTTAATGTGTCGGGCACCATGAACACGTGGGTTAGGCAGACGGGCTATCCCGTGTTGAACGTAAGAGTGGAGGGGAATACAATAATAGCATCACAGGACCGCTTTCTTTATGACAAGAATGCAACGTACGACGAGACGGAGTCACCATATAGGTACGAGTCAAACCCAACGAAGATACAAAAACTATATCAACTGATTCTCATCCCCCCTTCGACTCCATGGGTCTCTCAACTAAATATTTATTTTTACGCACCAAATCAACACATTAACAAAAGAATAGGAATCTGTCAGTTGTCAGTTAGTCATACATTATCAATATTATGAATTTGATCTCCCATTTTGAAATACCAAGGAGAAAGTGTCCCTTCTATTCGAATAGTCAGTAACACCCGTATCATTGCTTGGATATGAATTTCATATTTTATCCCGTTGTCACATTTGCTCCGATATTCAACACCGGCGCCCGGCCGATGAGTATTTAGTTCAAAACTGAATGCGATTTTGAGCAAAATACTAATCGGTTCTGAAAATCGCCATAAGAGCATGATTTCAAACAATGTAATTCATAAACATGATAAAAGTCCCTGAAGGAGGAATGAAACTAAAATCAAAAACACGATTATCTCATCGACTCTCATTCTTAACTTATTGTCATTTTGTTAACTCATAGTTATTTTGTTAACTTATGGTTATTTTGTTAACTCATAGTTATTTTGTTAACTTATGGTTATTTTCTTAACTCATAGTTATTTTGTTAACTTATGGTTATTTTGTTAACTTATTGCTTTTTTGTTAACTCATAGTTATTTTGTTAACCCATAGTTATTTTGTTAACGTATGGTTATTTTGTTAACTCAATTTGCTATGTTGTTAACTTATAGTTATTTTGTAATCGGTAGATATTTTTTCATTTTATATATAACATTGTATAACGATTTTAATTAGGTACAGGTGGGACGTACCACTGAGTTTTACCACGACAACAAGAGAGAATGGTCTCTTCTGGATGAATAGAACAAATGAAGGAGAAAGTAAGACAAAATAAGGTCTTTGGTCATACATCATAGAATAATCGGGGTCTTTGGTACTGTTCAACATTAACAAAATAGAAAACAGAGTTATTTTCATTTCATCTCTTACAATGCATATCATACTATACCAGAACAATGACGAGTAAATTTCAAGGCCAGTAAATGTGATGTCTGTTACGATAACATACTTTTTCATATTATATCCTTAAAAATCTTTATCTGTTTTGTGGCAAAGTAAAAAGATTGAAACCAACGTTCCAGTGATATTTAAAACATGGTAAACACTTCTTTTCAACTTAGATAGAACAACAACATTAATTGTCTTGAAAGTGTATCATATTTATAAACGACTAAAAACTAGTTTCATTATTATTAGATTAAGAGGGCAACAAGGACTATATATACGAGTGAAAATTCGAGCTGAGCTATCGGGTCAATATTTGGTTTAACATCTTCTTTGACATACCCTTTCTTAAAATGTATGGATAAACTATCAATTTCAGCATTAAGAAGTGTAAATTCAGTTCAAAGCTTCTATAAAGTCCCAATTATATAGATTTTTAAGATTCACCACGTTCAAGAGGAATTTCAGCTGAAATAATGTTCATCCAGGGAGTTTCTTTGTAGATAGTAAAAATTATTATGTTAGTCTTGATGAAATATCCAAACTTAAATATATTTTGACACTGGCCGATGATCGTTGAATGGCCCCCCCCCTGCACTAATTGTTGCACATTTAAATTGATACCTTGATGTGTTGATCTACCCTATTTGATTATTTGTTTTATATCAGGTAATTTTGTGTTAACTGGAGTGAACATGGCTAACGCAGTCGTAAAATTAAATCGGGGGAATAAAGGTTTTTATCGAGTGAACTACAGTGACGAAATGTGGACAAAACTAGCAGACGTTCTTTCCAGCAATCATACGGTAAGAACAAAAATTATTTTTCACTAAATCTCTCCCATTGAAATAACACAGGAGGCGAAAATAATATCCAAAAATGACTTTGAAGTGTTGTAAACGTTAATGTTCAAAAAGTAAACGTAACACTTAGCGTGCAAAAAGTTAGACAATTCAATTTTCGACACTGAAAATATTTTTTGGTGAATCATTTACTGAAATCTGATTTTCCCCGAACCCACCATTTCCCATTGGTTTACATCTTTGTCATCAGTTTTCGACCAATTGTAACTAAGAAAAAAATGGGAAAGTTTAGAGGTTAGGGTTGCCAAACTTATGGAGGGGAGTGTACGTTGATATTTGTCAAATAAAGTTCAGAGTAATCATGTTAGCTTCAAAACACTTCTGGTGCCCCATAAATATCAGTCAATGTGTCTCCAAGTCGTTATAACTACATAGAGTCGCTTCTGCTAAATGTTCGAAGCAAAAAAAGTATTTCTGGCAAAACCTCGATTATTTTTCTAAATAGGGTTCTTCGGCTCGTGACATTTGAAATTATTATCTCCTAAAGATCATAAATATATATCGCATTCCAGGCCACATCCTTGAGTGTCTCATTACTAAGCAATGCCGTTAGTTTTCAATTAATCTTTTTTTTTTATTTCAGAGATATCAAAATACCGATCGGGGTAATCTTCTTGATGATGCGTTTAATTTAGCTCGTGCTTCTTCTCTCGGTTATGACACTGCGTTGAGTATGACGCGATACATGTCTGCTGAAGAATCATTTGTCGTATGGAGAACACTTAGATCTAACCTAGATTACATCACTACTATGTTCGCTAGTAGATCAACGTATGGGCTTTGGAGGGTGAGATATTGCAGAATATAGGGTGTCTCAAAAAATGTACCCAAAACTATATCAACACCATAGATAAACCAATCAATATTTTCAGACATCTTTCGCATGGTCTTGTAAATAAAATATGAAAGTTTTTGATTCAGTTTTGCCTTTTTGATACTTTAACCCGTTACCTTTTACACCACATATTCAATGTAACCTCATATTTCGATGACAGTCCGCATCCTTATTACTACATTATTCACCACATTCGATATTTCTGTTGGAATGTTAGCATAAAAATGGTCCTTCAAATAGCCTCAGAGAAGTATGGGCCGTCAAATATGGTGAATGGGGAGGCCCTCATAATGTCTTATAGCCCCCTAATACAGAGAGGTCAGAGGTTCAAGACACTGCATTGGTTGGGATTTTAGTGTAGCTTTGGTAGTGTGTATCAACTTGAGACCACTGTGTTTTCATTTGGATATCATTTGGTCTCCAGGCTAGCCTACCTAGCTCTTGAAGGTAACTCCTGAATCATTTGCCGACAATTGACCCGATTATCCGTGTTTGTCGTCTGCCATCGTCATCTTTCTCTGTGGCTATTTGAAGGAATGATTTAATGCTCATTCCAAGCAAAAAGACCTAGAACAACTTAAGGGCAACATCCTAAAAGAAATCCAAAATATTCCACCGGAATTATTATCAAATGTGATGAACAATGTAGCAGTAAGGATGCAGGCTGTCGTCGAAATATGAGGTTACATCGATTATGAGGTGTAAAAGGTAAAGGGTTAAAGCATCAAAAAGACAAGACTGAAATAAAAGTGGTGTATTGGGGAGAAAACTTTCATGTTTTGGCTACATGACCATGCAAAAAATGTCTGAAAATATTCATTGGTTTATCTGTGCTCTTGGTATACTTTTGGGTACATTTTTTGAGACACCCTGTATATTGTGCGAAATGTAAACTTTATAGATGTGGAGCGAGTGGGCATAATTAAAATCATGCTATGCCAATTAGTTCGACTATTTGCTAACAAAGTCAACCTTAGAATCACGTTTTGAGGAAGGTTACATTTTTGCCCGACATATTTAAAATCCTTCTTTTATTTAATACTTGCAAAAGCCTGGCTAATAAGACCAATGACAAATAAGCTAATTATACATATTTGAAATATTTACAGAAATATGTACGTAACTTATCTGCACCTACTATGGAACGCCTTGGTTTTGTAGACGCAGGAAACCATTTAGACAAGTAAGAAATAAGGGATATTCGTAAATTTAATGCTCTCATATTACCCGATCAATGAACAATAATAGACCAGGTGATCCAATATAAATCGTGGATGACTTAACTAGCTAAAAAATGCAATCTTCTTTTGTACCAGAAATCGTTTTTATTTGTATCGTATTCTTTGTACCGTTTTAATCGTAGCTATCATATATTAAAAGGACGTTATAAGCTTACTTATATTTCCAGATTAAATCGAGCCGATATTATCCGGCTCTCGTGTGGCTATGGCAACGATGCGTGCCTTATGAATGCGACATCTATGTTTATTGACTGGATTGAGAGTGGAGGGACACTGGCGTGAGTAAAGCAATCACGATAGAAAAAGTAACATAATGTATTGGGACAAACCTGATTACTCATGTACGTGTATGATAAATGATGCATGTTAAATGATTGTTTTTACAGGCTTCCAGTGAATTTGAGGCTAAATATCCTGGTTTATGGAATGTCAGAAACTGGTGGGGAGGAGGAGTGGGACTTCATGTGGCAACTATACCAGAATCCAAACACAACGGCCTCCGACAAACTAAATTACCTGTACATACTATCTCACACTAAAGTGACATGGCTCCTAAACAGGTACAACTACATCCCGAAATCTACAAATTCTTGATTCAGTTATCATTATACATGTAAAGTGTCGCCTCTTGTCCAGATGTTTAGATTCATAATCAATAATATGTGGGTATTTCCATAGAGCCCATTTCTCTTTTGATGTGGTAGTTTTAGCCATGTTACTCTTCGCATTTTGGAAAACATGAAAAAATGTTTTGATATGATCATAATTTATCATATAAAAATGCACTTCTCAATTCAAGTAGACTGCCATGTTGTTTCACACAGGAAGTGATGTCATCGACATCGACTGATTAACCTTTATAATCTTACGCATAAGAGTATAGAAAAGAAGCACAAAATCATTTTAGACTATATGCTTGTCAACTGAAAATAAAAGAAGAGATTATCTGTAGAAATAAACCATAGACAACATTAAAAATGATATTCAGCGAGCTGGTTTTGTGCTTCTTGCATACCCTCTTCCCTAATCTATGTGCAAATTATGAAGACAAATTGCAATATTGGCATATCGAATTCTTTTTTTTATTAAATGCTGAATTTCAAGCCACTTTTAAGGATGAGATAAATTGCTGAATCTGATTAATTAACTTATATCCTTTATCACACTCTGGAATACAGAAACTGCCGTATCACAAGTTTCGACATAAATTGTTAGGTTATTGCTCGAATAATGGCATTTTAACATACTAAATTTCAACCATACTGTCAAAGTCATTGCAATACGTGGTTATTTACAAATGTGCTGAATCTGAAATATTCATCGACAATTCGTAATAAAAATATGTTGATCACCACAAAGTAAGTTCAACGAACACAGGGGCAAAACCAAAACTAGATTAATTTTTTTATCTTTTTTTTACTTCATCCGGCTTGTTGACGTATGTAAATACGCTATTCGTAAATAATACATTCATGATAAATTCTTTTCAGGTATATTGAATACGCTTTTGATGAGTCTAAGATTCCCCAACAGGATTTCTTCACTGTTATGAGATACATTGCTTCTGACGATATCGGCAATCCTCTGGTATGGGACTGGGTCAGAGAAAATTGGGAGAACTTGGTGAAAAGGTAACATTATGTGCAAAATAAACGATTTTAGATTATCGGATAGAAATCTCGTTGCTCGTTTTTTTAAAAAGGGCACATTATGTAATCGATGAATTCTGTACGCATTTAATCCAGATGTAAACCCAAATATAAAAATTCAAAATGCTTAGATATATTATAAATAAAATAAAATTGAATGTCTTTATTTCTAGGTTTGGTCTGGAAGATCGCTACTTTGGTCAGCTTATACCATCAATTGTTCAAGATTACAACACTAAGTTTAAATTGGATGAGGTACAGTTTGTCACAAAATTAGCCCCTGCCTGTACAGGCAAATAATGATCCATACATTTATACATGGTTGTCCATTCCGACTTATGTCACAGATAACACTACAAATACAAACAGTATTCCCCACAGTATCTTTTAAACCAATAGGCAGCGCCAAAGAAAAACAATTTGAAATGTGCAAAAGGAGAAACGCCTGTAATTTGTTCTTCATATAAGCTGTTTCAATTTCTTCATTTCAACTATTTTAAACCAAATCTCGATTACACAAGGGAGTAACAAATTATATTAAAGTGCATGTGATATACTTTTGAATTTCGTGTGAGCATAAATGTGTTAAAAATAACAGAACGTTTTACATCAAAGTGAAATTGTAATTTGATTAATTTCAGGTGACGTCATTCTTTGCTAAATATCCAGACGCTGGCGCTGGGGAACAGGGAAGATTACGTGCAGTTGAAACAATGAAAGCGAACATTGCATGGATGGAGAACAATGAACAAATAATTGCTAATTGGCTTACATCAAACGTCTAATGATTGGACTGTGTGCTGCAATCGTAATTTGATTTTTTATGCAAATATTGAAAAAATCACAAGATACAAAATACTCAAAAATAAGACATGAATAAAACTTCCATTACAAATCAAAATGCAACAATATACATTAAATTTCACAATTTGCACAATTCTATTGGTTTCGATTTAAAGGAGCGGCAACAAATATTGTAAGTAAGTTGGTGGAAAATTCGAAAAAATCTATTTCAGGATAATCTGATTTTTTACCTTGCAAAATATTTGATGTACATAAAGTGAAACCTGAGATACAGTATGTGAAATAAATGTCATTTTAAGAAATCATATAATCAACATTTATTGTCCTCATTTAAAGGAGTACAATACCCTAATATTGCCTTTAATCGGCAGTGATTAAACAGCTGACTAAGGATTGATTTTACCTGATTTTTTAAAGGTTCCCAGTTGGCCTTCAGTCGTCAAAACAAACAATTGGGCAGACTTGACGTTCTTTAGAGCACCATCAAGACAGAACAACCTTCCAGTCAGAAGCTTTACTCCGAGCTTTTCTACGACCTATTACGACCCCGACGCTTTAATCAAGCTTTGTTACGCTTTGGTGCCGCTTTACAAGCCGCTTTAAAGCGACATCAAAGCGCCGTTGGTGTGAACGTAGCTTTAGCGGTTGTTTTCAATGTTTCGTATGCGCGCTATACACGTAACATGCGTAAAGCTAAGTTGACACCAACGGCGCTTTGATGGCGCTTTAAAGCAGCATGCAAAGCCGCTTTGCACGGCGCTTTAAAGTGCCATCAAAAGCGCCGTTGGTGTAAACTTAGCTTACTGTAGGCCTAACACAACCAAATGCTATAACATGCGTATTCCCATCTCTAAATGATTTGTCTTTCAGAGAAAACTAAGATTTGTGGACATGTTTTGCTATCATACCATCATGAAAGTACCACGAAAATCAAAATATCTCACCTGTTTAATACGCCATCTATAGAAAATGTCAAAAATTGTCACTCTGATTTTGATTCAGATGGAGGCAGGTCAAAAAGGTCAAATTTCTTAAAGAAAATGCACCGATCAATCACATCAAATCATGTGATATGATATGATATGATATGATATAATTCTTTATTTCCTCCAATTTGGAGAGCAAATTAATGCAAAAAGAAATTATTAAATTACAATTTACTTTACAATATGTACGTATACATTAGATACAATATATGGTGAAATGAGTAAGGTAAGGTGATATTTGCTTACGACGTGAATTCTTTAAGCATAGCGCTTATTTGATTGGAACAAAGGTTAATAAATTGTTGCCATTTAGCAAAATCGTAATTCTGCAATACATCTGTGCGACTACCCAATAAACATTCAACTAAGACATCGTCATCAGAGTTTAAGATGTTAGTTGAGTCCTCAACAGGTAATAGATTAACAATCTTTTCAAAAAAAGTATTTCTTGTTGCACTTAGAGATGAACATTCTAAAATGAAGTGTTTGACAATGTCCTTTGTTGTTTTGGCACAGGTTTAGCAATGCTGTTCTTTAGTAGAGAGTGCAATGAGATATAACAATTGGGCATATTCCCATAATCTGGAGGGATCCATTATCCCAAGAGTTGGTCAATAAGGATCGATAAGTTGTGTGTGCCCTTATTGATTCATTGACTTTTGCGTTCACGTTTACGTTGTGAAAAACATTGCAAGCTCAGTCTCCCTTATTTAGATCGGAGGTAACCCGGTAACATTGTGTCACCTTAACACCTTAAGTGTCCCCGGGCTAAAGTGCATTTGTGAAGAGCGCGATGAATTTTATGGCTTGTGCCTGTACATTTAGACCAGTTATCTTTTTCTTGCTGTGTTTTGAAACAAGCTTAGATCCTTTCCCTTTGGCACTTGTTAGTGTATACATTTGTATTTTATATGCACTGGCTGATCTGGGGGGCCTTGGGTTGGCCCAGAAAAAGGGCCAAAAAAGGCCTTGAGTGCCCAATAAGTGGGCCTTTTTGGGTATTGCTGGGCCTTTTAAGTCCTTATTTTTTAATTTTAGGCCAAATTTTGAAGACAATGGGCCTTTATATTCGAAATTTCCGAAAAGAAACAAAAACTCAACCCTATTCATTTGTGCAATATTTTTTATCTGACTTGAAATTTCACCCCCCCCCCCCCCCCTTGTTGGTTCCCAGATCCGCCCCTGATATGTGTACTTTGCACTTGTACAAAATCATTTTAGATGTATGAATTAAACAGTTACCATAGTGAGCAGCTCAGATACAGTGCAGCACTGGTCGTTACTGTGTACCAGATGAGTCAAGGATTGGCGGACGAAACAGGGACGAAACAGGGACGATACTCGCTAATTTCCAACAATGAAAATGTCAGAATGTTGTTATTTTAGACAGTGACAACAGTAGGCCTAGAGTTCTTTGTTTGGGATTCAAATTCTGAAGTGAACAAAATGGAGGCTTTTTGAATTCGAATTCGAAATTGTAAAGTTACGACATCTCCATGGCAGAATATCGAGTTGGAACCCTTGGTATGGAGAGCCCTTGGAGCAAATCCTTAATATAATTGAGAATCGAAAATACACTAAACTAAAAGGGGAGATATGAAAACAACAGTACATTTAAACGTCGATATAAGTTAAAGGAAGTCACGATGACCTAAGGTAATTCAAGAGTAAAGTATCCAGTAAACAGAATATAGGGTAACCTGCGTCAGGTTCGTTTGTTGTTCTGTTTCATTTTGACACCAATGCGCATGCTGGGACGAATGCCGTGCTAGTCATTTTAGACCACTAAGAATGATGGAAAGAGGGGGAAATATCTCTCGAGGACATGAAGATAGGTCCAGCTATGAGTTTTGAGGTTCATAGTCATCAAATGAATTCATCTTTACAATTCGGTCCAATCCATAGAGGGACCTTCTCTTCTCCATGAACTCCGGGGTCTCCTCTTGCTCGATAGCCTGTTTGCGCATGCGCAACAACCTAAATAGAAAGGCGAACCTGGCGCAGATTATCCCAACTCGGTAAATAGAACTTCTGAGAAGTGAACTCAGAAATGTATAAACCAAGGAGAATTGAACGTTGGACTTAAAGGTAAATATAAGTAGGCCTATAGTGGTTCCAACAGTCCGTCATATAGAATAAACTGACAATGGTAAACTAGAAAACAGCAAGATTCAAGCTAAAACACTGTCTGATCTGAGGTATGAGTACCATAATCCAACACCAAATTCGAAAATTCATATCAATACTTTGCACATATGGCGTTCGTGATCAACTTTAAAACGCTTACCCCCCATAGTGTTATATATCAAAATGTACCTGTTCATACAGGGGTTCGATTGATCTACATCAAATTATAGGGAGGCAGGTTACTTTTTGAGACATCAGCGTCCATTTATTGTAACTCGCGTTTGCTACCATTTCCTCATTTCTGAGATGACGGGCAAACGCGTAGGAGACACACAACCATTAGATCCTTCCGCCGAGTGGGAAGACGAATAGATGGCATTATAAAAACAAAAATATAGTCCAATTATTGTAATTACATTAGCATCACCAGTGGTTGGATTTTGGTAAGTACATGAATGAAAAAGTGTATGTGTGGACCAACTCTGAGACATGATTTGATGTGATTAAGGTGCATTTTCTTTAAAAAATGTGACCTTTTTGACCTGCCTCCATCTGTCAAAATCAGAATGACATTTTTTGACATTTTCTATAGATGGCGTCTTCAACAGGTGAGATCTTTTGATTTTCGTGGGGAGTTTTGATTCAAACTTTTTTGACTGACAGAGGACATACTGGGGTATGATGCAATGATAGCAAAACATGTCCACAAATCTTAGTTTTCTCTTGAAGACAGATCGTTTGTATGGGAATACGCATGTTATAACAATTAGTTGGGTGAACCCTATTATCGCCCATTCTGGAGTACCACTTTTTTTTAATTTGGTCATATTTCTCAACTATTTTCAGTTTTTATTGGGACTTTCATTAATTTCATCTCTCTCAATGCGTTTGACAAAGTTTCATGTCACTATGGTCCATGCTTTTCCCCAAAAAGTGCTGAATAAGCATTTTTTCGCAAAAATTTACCCCGTGTTATTCAAATATGTGCATAAATTAGAGAAATTTATTGATTATTTTTCTAAATCACAAAAATTGATTCTAGGCAAAATGTGCTATCCAGATATAGCTCAATCAGCTCTGTAAGACCTCCCCAGCTCAAACTAGACATCTCCCAACACATCCGTCATAGGCTCCAACCAGGAGTCAACTTTTTGTTACTTTGGTCATATTTCTCCACTGTTTCCATGATTCTTATTGGAATTTTCACAAATTTTGCTCTAGAAGGCTAAATCATTGGCCATGACCTAACCCTAACCCCAACAATATCTCTAACCCTAACTATAGCCTAACCCTAAGCCAGAGCCTAACTCTAACCCTTAACCTGAACCCCAACACTACCCCTAACCCTAACTATAGCCTAACCCTAAGCCAGAGCCTAACCCTAACCCCTAACCCTAACCCCAACACTATTCCTAACCCTAACTACAGCCTAACCCTAAGCCAGAGTCTAACCCTAACCCCTAACCCTAACCCCTTACCCCAACATTACCCCTAACCCTAACTATAGCCTAACCCTAAGCCAGAGCCTAACCCTAACTCTAACCTCAACACTAACCCTAACTATAGCCTAACCCCAAGCTAGAGCCTAAGCCTAACCCCAACACTACCCCTAACCCTAACTATAGCCTTACCCTAAGCCAGGGCCTTACCCTAGCCCCAACACTACCCTTAGCCCTAACTAAAGCCTAACCCTAAGCCCAAGCCTAACCCTAACCCCTAATCCTAACCTTGACTTAACCCTAAGTAATCAAATACAGTGTTCAGAATGATCATTTATCAATTGGGAGACCTATAATTGGAAATGTGTGTTGTTTTGGTTTTCTTTGATGAATATTCCCCAGGGTAGAACAACAACTGGAGAAAATGACCAATTTTTCTGTATCCTCCATACTAAATATTTCTCTGTAAACATTCAGAAGCAATAATAATGATTACAATTAGTTTATGTAATTGATAACACATGAATTGTTCTATCATTTGACAAAGTTTAATGTCACGATGGTCTGTACTATTTCCCAAAAGTGTCGAATAAGCATTTTTTCGCAAAAATCTACCCCGTGTTATTAAATATGCGCATAAATAAGAGATATTAATTGCCTATTTCTTTAAATTACAAAAATTGATTCTAGGCAAAATGTGCTTTCCAGATATAGCTCATTCAGCTCTGTACTACCTCCCCATCTCAAACTAGACACCT